ACCACTAGCTATTGATAAAATAACACAACTAAAATCTACAATATATTTTCTATTCAGTATGTAAAAAATAAAAATTAATAAAAGCAGCTAAGCAAACAAACAAAAACCTAATTTCATACCCATGATTTAGTTCAGAACTGACCACTGAGCATGAGTTAGTCTTTCTTACAGTTGCAATTTTGCAAAACACCCCAGGAATTGGAGTCCTCCATGAAATTCCATGCTAGAGTGAAAAAGCCTGTCTGGGCATGCCTGGTCCCCACCAAGGTCAGAACTGGAGTTACAGGTGGCTGTACGGAAGTATGTGGGAGCTGGGAATCCTACTTAGTGCTCTTCGAGAGCAACGAGTGCTCAAAACTGCTGAGTCCTCTCTCCAGCTCCTTTCTTTACTTCTTAATGTGGGCATACATTCGTCTCAGAACAAATTCTTATGGCCCGGGGCTCTACTTTTATTTTTGTTCTGAGACAGGGTTTCATGCAGTCCCGCCCTGTCTCCATCTCCCGAGTGCCCTCAGTTAACACAGTTCTGGCAATGGGAATACTCAGGGCTTCCTGCAGATTAAACAAGTTCTCTATCAACTGAGCTATATCCACAGACTTCTAGTTTAGTATTCTTATGTCAGCCAAGTGGTGGTGGTGCATGCCTTAATCCCAGCACAAGGGAGGCACAGACAGGCAGATCTCTGGGAGTTTGGGCCAGCCTGGTCTACAGAGTGAGTTACAGGACAGTCAGAGCTGTTATACAGAGAAAGCCTATCTCAAAAAACAAACAAACAAAATGTTTTTCTTATGTCCTCTCTATTCAGACCAACAGTGCTCTAGTTATAGCCCACAAACCAACATATTACCCCACGGTATTTGCACATTAAATTCAGGGCCTATCACAGGACAGCAGAAAGGAACTCTATGAATGGAAATCAGTGTCAAGGCAAAACTACAAGACTTGTGTCAAGGGGAGTAAGAGACAGTTTGTCCTGGAGCCAAGTTTGAGTGACCATGACCCAGGAGCATAGGCTCAGGTTGCCCTGAATATCATGTTCCAACATGACGACAGGTTATGAAGTTATAATGATAAAACAGCTGAAAGTCACAGAGCAAGGCAATTTTCAGGTAGACAGGCTAAAGCAAGGTGGAGAAATCTATTATACGCTTCGAACACTATGTGATGACATCATTAGGCTTTGAACTGGTGGGAGCTAGTGGTGTAATATTCTGGCTCTTTAAGAGACAAGCCACGCCCACTCCCTTCCTCCTAGCAGCCTCTGTCCTACTCTGCTCTCTTCCTGTCCCTGTCTCAAGAGGCAGCTTTTGCCTCTCTCCCCATTTCTCTGCTTCCCCCGCCCCTGTCTCTCTCCTCTTCTCCTCTTTCTTTCTCTCTCTCTCTCCCCCTTCCCCCTTTTTCCTTCCCCTCCATAACCCATCTAATAAATGTCTAACTTTATTCTGTATGGTATGTTTATCTGTCTCTCTAGCCCGCCCCCTGCAGTCACATGGAGCCTGCCACGTGGTCTCCTGCGCCATCCCTGCTTGGGACCCCGGGCAGCTTGCAGCAAACCCATCTGCATGGTGTGCATATCTGTCTGGCCCTTGCCCACCCACCGCCCACATGGCTAGCCGCCAGGGATGCCCAGGGGACCAGCCACCTTGGTTTGTGGGGACCCACAGCAAATCCATAACAAGTGGTCTGTTAGGAAAGCCTAAAGGGATTTTTACCTAAACGTCACAAAGCTGTTAGGCTAAGCACAGACATGGACAATAAATAGCTATTAATGAGGCTAAAAGCAGGGTGTGGTGACACCCATCTTTAATCCCAGCACTTGGCAGGCAGAGGTGGGCAGAGTTTAAAGCCAGCCTGGTCTACAAAGAGAGTTCCAAAACAGTGAGGACTACACAGAGAAACCCTGTTTTGAAGAAAACCAAATCCAAAACAAAGAATAAAAGGCTAAAATAGCCTGGGATAATTTGGCTCCAGATCTGCACTACTCCCGCTCTCCAGAAAGCACAGAAGTTCTAACCAATGAACCTTCCAGAATCTTTAACATACGTGCAGCCTTTTTCTAAGAACTCCAACCTGTATTTTAATAAGTTATCCAGATGATTCAGACACAGAGAAGTTTGAGATTGTCTGCTATCCTGTTGCTTCTCTTGCTAACAGCAGCAGGTTTCGGGGACTCCAAATCACTAGAAGACTGCTTGCTTGGTGGGTACACAGTTCCCTGCTGTGAAGTCAGTTTCCAACACCCAATAATTAGCACAGAAGTATTCCACATATTCCGGCCTGTGAGGTGCTGATCCCTGCATCAATGTCCCCATGTGAAATTACAGGCTCCGTGGGAAAATGGAGCGCTTGCCAGGTTAAGACTCATTCTCCAAGAGGGTGTTTCTGTTGCACAGGAAAATGATCTGACCACCAATTAACTACTTTGGGCCTTACGTAATATTTAGTCCTCCAACAAGTGGTACCCAGATATAACACCAGGAAGAAACACGATAGCATTTTAGTCTCCAGTGTTTCCTCCATCTTTCCCTTGGCCTTCCTTTCCTTCCATCTCTGTGTATGTGTGTGTGTGTGTGTGTGTGTGTGTGTGTGAGAGAGAGAGAGAGAGAGAGAGAGAGAGAGAGAGAGAGAGAGAGAGAGAGACTGAGTCAGGGTTTTGCTATGGAGCCCTGGAGAGAGAGAGAGAGAGAGAGAGAGAGAGAGAGAGAGAGAGAGAGAGAGAGAGGGGAGGGAGACTGAGTCAGGGTTTTGCTATGGAGCCCTGGTCAGTACTCACTATCTAGCAAAGGATGACCTCCTACTCTTGAGAGAGAGAGAGAGAAAGAGAGAGAGAGAGAGAGAGAGAGAGAGAGAGAGAGAGAGAGAGACTGAGTCAGGGTTTTGCTATGGAGCCCTGGTCAGTACTCACTATCTAGCAAAGGATGACCTCCCACTCTTGGGAATCCCCCTACATCAGCATACCACACAATGGGGCTTATCTTCAAAACCTTCCTTTTCAACTGTGTGTATGTGTGTAGAAGAGGGCACGTGCACATAGAGGCCAGAGGAGGATTTAGGCTATCCTGCTCTCCACTCTGGACATTATTCTCTTGAACTGGAGTGTCTCACTGAACCTGTTGCTAAGCTGGCTGGCAACAAGTCCCATGGATCTCCTTGTCTGTGATGGCACTTCTAGCTATTATGTGGGGGCTAGGGATTTGAACACAGGTCCTCATGTTTGCACAACAACAATTCGTATCCCAAGACTGACGCAGAAGACTTTCAAAGTGACAGAATTAATGTCATAAAGGACCTATTAATAGATTTGCTTAGGAGACATTAAGTCACACAAAGTAGAACTTAGCTAAGGGAATGCTGCCTTCATAGCACCACAAAGATACAGTGTGCTAGCCACGCCTGTTTGAGATAAGTAGTTACCATGCTAGGATGTACATTACTGTTCGCCAGGACTCACCAGACATTAGGTCCACCACCAAAGAACAAGTCTCCAACAGGCATCTTGAGGGGGCCATGCAGGGTCACAAACACCATTAAGTCCTGGGCTGCAATTAGGTGCCCTTGGCTCCTGTCAGGAAAATCACAATTCAGACAGGTGGGCAAGATGAACCTGGGTAACAAGTATTCAAAAAGAACAGAACAAGGCAGAGGCAGGCGGATCTCTTTGAGTTCGAGGCCAGTTACCTGGTCTACAAGAGCTAGTTCCAGGACAGGAACCAAAAAGCTACGGAGAAACCCTGTCTCTAAAATCCAAAAAAAAAAAAAAAAAAAAGAACAGAACAGGCGTACTTTCAAACAATCTTGGCAGTCTCCTATCTGTTAAACAGTTCGAGGTGTAAACCGGGTCCTGGACATAAAAGAAATTAAAAGATTACAGAGAATATAAAGTGAATACACCCGGCCGGGCGGTGGTGGCGCACGCCTTTAATCCCAGCACTTGGGAGGCAGAGGCAGGCGGATCTCTGTGAGTTCGAGACCAGCCTGGTCTACAAGAGCTAGTTCCAGGACAGGTTCCAAAGCCACAGAGAAACCCTGTCTCGAAAAACCAAAAAAAAAAAAACAAAAACAAAAAAAAAAAACAAAGTGAATACACCCAAGGCCTAGGAAAGCTAGTAAAGTCTTCTATTGGGGGCCTGCTCTTCTTTGGGCATTACCAATAGCTGGCCAGGTTTTTCCTTTATTAATCTCTAAGTGGGCTTTTCTCACTGTGAAGGCTTATTATTTTTACAAGAAGCCAACTCCCTAAGCCCTCTCAAAGTATCTTAAAGCACCACTCAGACCCATTCCCAGAGCAGCTTGGTGTCTACTATAGGTTTTTCTAACAGAAGACGGATCACCCTCTAAGCTTTGTCAGTGCCTGAGCGCCAAATGGGATGGAACTAGTGAAAGACCCCAGTGGTGGGCAGTCTTTCAGGCTAAGGAGACCCTCCCAAGGAACAGCGAGATCACTCTTCGGATGCAAACAGCAAGAGGCTTTATTCAGTACACAGGTACCTGGGGCGACTTAGTCTCTCAAAAGACAAAGCGCGCCTGCAGACTGGGGGAAGGTCTTTTTATAGGAAAGAGGGCAGCAGAAGCAGATTACAGAAGCAAATGCATCGTTAGTGGTCAGTTGGAATGGGGCAAGGGGCACAGGTGGTTTTTCCTCTCCCAGCACAGATGTATGGGAACAGATATCCTGTTAATTGGTGTCCTGTCCGAATCTATGGATATAAATATCCTGTTTTGCAGCCAGGGACCCTGACCTTACTCTGCACTTACAGTCGTTCGTCAAAAGCTTTGTGAAATGACGTTACAGCAGCTAAGCTGGGATCTTTCATAGGGGGAGTTGTCTCTTCTGTGAATTTACTGATATTCTAAGTTGGGCACATGTGCTGACTATAGGCATCCTGTTTCCCTAAGCAAACGGGATGTTCTCATTAGAGCAGGCCAGCTGCGGGTTCCTTATCGCTTGGGGCCAGATGGCTGACCGGCTGACCGCAGATATCTTGCCTGGCTTCTCCGCCCTTGTTCTCAAGTCGAACTTCCCTGCTCTAATGTTACTTGTGTTGCTCCAAAGTTTAAGCCTGGCATTGCTGCTGCTTAGCTGTTTGTCTATACTGTGGGGGTCTTTCATCCCCCCCTTTTTCTATAAACTGAATAAAATCCTTTATTCATTTAGCTGTGGTATCCATGTCTTCGGGATCAAACTGTCTAAGCTGATGATACTGTTGTGTCAGGACCAGAGCCTGGATGACAGACAGCCTGTCCTTCATGAATTGGACCAAGCGATTTAGGATACAAGGCCCAAAAAGCAAGATTAAAAGTATAACGATTAGGGGGCCCATGAGGAGCTAGGCTTCCAAAACGCATCCCCGGTTGTTTCACATCCTCAGGCATTACAGAATAAGCTTTCCCATCCTCCACAGCGTCGGACCTGGTCTCGCTCCCGCCCATCCCGGGGACAGACATAGAAATCTAATTGCCCCAGGAAGCATCTTCCTTCAGGGCTTCCGCAGCCGAATTTTCCCCCAGGAGAAAAGCGGCTGCCTGCCCGGTCCTTTAACTGTGTAGGTAGCAAATCAGGAATATCCCATATCTCTGATCCTGCTGCAAGCTGGCAGAAATCCAGGGTAAGTGGGGGCCACCAGGTGTCTATAGCATGGTTTGCCTGAATTTCCCAGACAACTTCTCCGACCGAGGACAATACCTGCCATTTTAGGGAGCGTACCAGGTGAGGGCTGTCTCCCCGGACTATCATCCCTAGTCCCAACAAGATCCATAAACCAGTCAATGGGGCCCCCGGGTAAGTCTTATCTTTAGAGGGTTTTGAGAGCGCTGGACCCTCCATAGCGGTTCTGCTGTATCTCCTTCCGTACGAGCTGCTTTTACGTGGGAGGCGTGGACCCAGGCCGCGATGCCGTCAACTTTCAGTGCCGTTGGAGTGGTTAGCAGCACGGTGTAGGGTCCTTTCCAGCGGGGTTCCAGATTCTTAGTCTGATGTCTGCGGACCCAAACTGTATCGCCAGTCTGGTAGCTGTGAGGTACCGCTGGTCTGTCTAATTGTTCCTTATAGGCTGCAGCAAGTGGCTTCCAGACCTCTCTCTGCACGATCTGGAGTGCCTGTAAATGAGCTTCCAGAGAGGGGCTATTAGCAAAGTCTGAAATGTTGGAGTCAAAGAAATTAATGAAGGGCGGGGGCGCCCCATATAGTATTTCAAAAGGTGTGAGCCCGTGGGGTCCTGGTGTATTGCGAGCTCTGTAGAGGGCTAGGGGTAGTAGGAGCACCCAGTCTCTAGTGCCAGTTGCAAGCGTTAATTTGGTCAAAGTCTCCTTAATAGTTCTATTCATTCTTTCTACCTGTCCTGAACTCTGGGGTCTGTATGCACAATGTAATTTCCAATCAATCCCCAATAGCTTGGCCACCAACTGACTTACCTGGGAGACAAAGGCGGGCCCATTATCAGTGCCCAGCACTTGGGGCATGCCATACCTGGGGAAGATTTCTTCCAGCAGCTTTTTGGTCACAATTTTTGCTGTCTCATGCTTGGTCGGGAAGGCTTCCACCCATCCCGAAAAGGTGTCCACAAATACCAATAAGTACCGGTATCCATACATGCCTGGTTTTATTTCAGTAAAGTCAATTTCCCATTGTACTCCTGGTCGATGTCCACGGATTCGCACCCCCTGTCCCACTTTGGTTTTTCCTGCATTTACCTGTGCACATGCTCTACATTTGTCCATAACTTTTTGGAGGATGCTGTCTCGCCCTAGTAAATAGCAAAAAGTTTCCTGCCGGTCTAACAAAGTTTTCATCTTTCGGGGGCTTAGATGGGTCAATTTATGTAAGTAATCAAGCATCTTATAAGTGTATGCCATCGGCATCACTGTTTTTCCCTTCCATGTCCATTCGCCCGTTTTCTGGTCCTGCTCCGCTCCCATGTCTGCCAGGAACTTTAGATCCTCCTCATCATATTTGAGGGGGGTCTCTCTTATCTTGGTGCATGGGCAGTATGGCTAGCGGAGCCTGCAGGGCCACCTGTTTGGCGGCTTCATCAGCCAGCCGGTTTCCTCGAGCCTCAGGGCTGTCTCCTTTCTGGTGTCCTGGGCAATGTATAATGCTCAGTTTCCGAGGCAGAAATAAAGCTTTTAACAAGGCTAAGATCTCTGTTTTATTTTTAATTTCCTTTCCTTCTGAAGTCAGTAGCCCTCTTCTTCTGTATATTTCCCCATGAACATGAGCAGTGGCAAAAGCATATCGGCTGTCAGTATAGACATTGAGCTTCTTACCTTCTGCCATCCTCAAAGCTTGTGTCAAGGCGACAAGCTCTGCTCGCTGCACAGAAGTCCCCGCAGGCAGAGGCTGTGCCCAGATCACCTCGGTCTCCGTGGTTACCGCTGCACCCGCCTTTCGCTCACCTTCCCGCAGAAAGCTGCTGCCGTCAGTGTACCAGGTGACATCCGCATCCCGGAGGGGTTGATCCGTCAGGTCCGGTCTGGTCCCGGGCATTTCCGCAAGGATAGGCTATTGGCCGCCGCCAGGGCCCCAGCCTTTGGGTCAAGACCCCTTTTCTTTCCAGTAGGCACATTGGTCCTTGTCGAGGGGTAGCCCTCTTCTGTCTCCCCCCTGTCTATCCTGTCTTTGCCCTGACACTACGGTGGCCAAAAGTTTACTCATTTCCTTATGTCTCTTGCGGTCCCTCTCTTTTTCCCTTTCCTTTTCCCTCTCCTCAGCTTCTTTTCTTAGGCGGTCCTCCCTCTCCTCCTGAGTCTCCCTCTTATTGAAAATCTTTTCTGCTTCCTTTAGCAGATCCCTGAGTGAGCTTTCCCTGAGGTTCTCTAGACGCTCCAGCTTGCGTCTGATATCTGGAGCTGACTGCCAAATAAAAGACATGGAGATATTGGTCTCCTGTTCGGGGTCGTCAGGGTCATAGGGAGTATATCTGCGGTAAGCCTCTTTGAGCCTCTCAAGGAACGCAGAGGGAGTTTCCTCTGACCCCTGTATAACCTGCTTTACCTGAGCCAAATTCGTTGGGCGTCGAGCCGCCCTGTGGAGACCCGCTATGAGCAACTGGCGATAGAGGGCTAGGTGATTCCTACCTTCCACCGTGGTGAAATCCCAAGAGGGGCATTCAAGGGGAAAGGCAGAATCTATTTCATTAGGCAATTGGGTGGAGCGGCCATCAGGTCCCCGGACTTCCTTCCGGGCTTCCAGGAGGACCCTCTGCCGTTCCTCCGAAGTCAGCAGGGCCTGCAGCAGCTGTTGGCAGTCGTCCCATGTAGGCTGATGGGTAATCAAAATAGATTCAATCAGAGCAGTCAACCTAGAGGGGTCCTCCGAAAAAGGAGGGTTATTATTTTTCCAGTTGTAGAGGTCTGAGGAGGAGAATGGCCAGTACTGCAGTTGGCTGTTCATTCCCGTGCGAAGAGGGAATGCCTGCGAGGAGGTTGTATCCGCTGCATGCAGCTGGTCCCTTCGTCCCCTCAGGCGTGCGGCCATCGGAGAAGGACCAGCAGAGGCCGGCGCTGCTTGTTCTTCTTTTCTTTCAGTTGAGTCAGCCTCATTCGGAGGCCGTGGAGCTGGCTCCTGATATGGGGGAGGGCCCTCCGTGAGGAGGTCCATCAGTAGGTCATCATCTGGGGGCAAGACTTTTGGAGGAGGGGGCTTGGGCACCGGGGATTTGGTGAGGGTTGGGTACAGGGAGGAGTGGGGCGGAGGTCCCGTTGGGGTGGGAAGGAGTGGAGGGGGTAAGGTAGGTGCAGAGGGGGTAAGGATAGGGGGTTTCGGGGTGACGAAAGGCTTGACCCAGGGCGGTGGGTCATAAGCCATCGCCTCCCAGATCACGATATACGCGACCTGGTCTGGATGCCCGTGAGGGCCAGGATCCATCACTTTAGCCTTTACCTGTAAGATAACATTGATGTCAAAAGTACCATCCCTTGGCCAGCCCACATTGAACGTGGGCCATTCCGAGGAACAGAAAGTTACCCAGCATCTCTTCCGAACGTCCACTGACTGGTAATTTGCAATGTGTTGGACGTCTCGCCAGTGCTGTAAAGTCAGACTTAGAGGGGTGGTTACAGATTGGCCCATTCTCTCAACCGCGGTGACAGTAACAATTAGACAGACAAACAAAATACAACTTAGACAGACACAGAAACTCGCAGCGCGGCTTTGGCGTAAAACCGAAAGCAAGAATTCAGACGGAGACTTTGAGGACCCGGGCTCCTCGTCTCCCAAAAGAGTCACGAATCCCTCAGACAGTGGGGCAGCCCCCAACAGTCCCAGTTCCACGCGACTCACAAACTGCAAATGGGCCACGAATCGGGCCCCCAAACACCACTGGGACGTCTCCCAGGGCTGCGGTCGGGAGTATGAGCTCGTCAGCTCCTCCCCGGGTCCGCCAAATACAAATCTGATTAGCTAACCAGTACAAACGCAGGCGCAAACATAAAAGACAGAAGACAGACAGAAAACAATTGTGCTGGCCAGCTTACCTCCCGGTGGTGAGTCGGTGGTCCCTGGGCAGGGGTCTCCAAATCTCGGTGGGACCTCCAAATGAAAGACCCCAGTGGTGGGCAGTCTTTCAGGCTAAGGAGACCCTCCCAAGGAACAGCGAGATCACTCTTCGGATGCAAACAGCAAGAGGCTTTATTCAGTACACAGGTACCTGGGGCGACTTAGTCTCTCAAAAGACAAAGCACGCCTGCAGACTGGGGGAAGGTCTTTTTTTTTTTTTTTTTTTTTTTGGTTTTTCGAGACAGGGTTTCTCTGTGGCTTTGGAGCCTGACCTGGAACTAGCTCTTGTAGACCAGGCTGGTCTCGAACTCACAGAGATCCGCCTGCCTCTGCCTCCCAAGTGCTGGGATTAAAGGCGTGCGCCACCACCGCCCGGCGGGGGAAGGTCTTTTTATAGGAAAGAGGGCAGCAGAAGCAGATTACAGAAGCAAATGCATCGTTAGTGGTCAGTTGGAATGGGGCAAGGGGCACAGGTGGTTTTTCCTCTCCCAGCACAGATGTATGGGAACAGATATCCTGTTAATTGGTGTCCTGTCCGAATCTATGGATATAAATATCCTGTTTTGCAGCCAGGGACCCTGACCTTACTCTGCACTTACAGTTGTTCGTCAAAAGCTTTGTGAAATGACGTTACAGCAGCTAAGCTGGGATCTTTCATAGGGGGAGTTGTCTCTTCTGTGAATTTACTGATATTCTAAGTTGGGCACATGTGCTGACTATAGGCATCCTGTTTCCCTAAGCAAACGGGATGTTCTCATTAGAGCAGGCCAGCTGCGGGTTCCTTATCGCTTGGGGCCAGATGGCTGACCGGCTGACCGCAGATATCTTGCCTGGCTTCTCCGCCCTTGTTCTCAAGTCGAACTTCCCTGCTCTAATGTTACTTGTGTTGCTCCAAAGTTTAAGCCTGGCATTGCTGCTGCTTAGCTGTTTGTCTATACTGTGGGGGTCTTTCACTAGCAGATCGTAAAGAGCAAGTATCAAGAGCCGCAAAAACTGGTACTCAGAACAGGTTTGGCTCTAAGAAGAAACTTCCGGCCAGTAGTTGGAATCTGAAACAAAAGGCCTAGCACACGGCGAGAAATTCATCCTACCGGGATCCGGATTCCGGCCTGCAACAACATCCCCCAGAAACTCAAGTTCCTTACAAATTCGCCGCTATCCTCCGACCAAAACAACTCCAAGATGCTCGGTATCCAAGCACCAGAAACAGCGATGCGGTCTGAAAACGTCATCAATGGTCGCCGAGTTAGATTCCCGCTCTTACTTCCTCCTCTCCTGGTCCCTCCTCCATTTGCTTTCCCTCGCTATGCTGCAGTAGTGGTGGCATTGGCCACCCTGACACTGTTCCCGCCCGGGAAGGCTTAAGACAAGTTCGCCACTAATTCCAAGTATGCTTCAGACACAGCATGAAGGAACCACACCTCCAGCCAGCTCTAAACTCTAGCCAGGGTTTGACTTCTGGGAGTTCCTGAGCACTAGCGAGCCAACTCGTTCTTACATCCAAGCATCTTTTCTGCTAAAACAAAATGCTGGGCCTGCCCCCTTTAAATCTTCTGAACCTGCCCGCCCAGCCAAATTTGTGTTCTAGGTTGATTTAGAAGCTTATCAAGCATTCTGATGTGAGAATTTCCTCTCTTTTATTAAAGATTCATTCATTCGTTCATTGGTTTTTTATTGTATATACAGTGTTCTGCCTGCAGGCCAGAAGGGGGCGCAATATCTCATTATGAATGGTTGTGAATCACCATGTGGTTAAACTAATGGAAATTAAACTCAGGACCTCTGGAAGAACAGCCAGTGCTCCCAAATACTAAGCCATCTCTGAAATTGATTAAATAAAAAACAATGCTGCAGGATCCCCAGCGGCTGCAGCTGCAGAAACGCTGCAGGTCCCCAAGTGGCGGCAGGCAGCAGTCCAGAGAGCAGCCAGTCCCAAGAAGGGACTGCGCAGGTCCCTGAGTAGAGACAGATGGGCACACCATAAGACCACACTGCAGGTCTCCCAAGGCGTCTCAGGCAGGGAGCCACTGGTGGCAGGCGAAAGACAAGAGACATGGCTAGGCACACCATGCAGAATGAGGTTAGATATTAATGAGGTTATGGAGGGGGAAGGGGAGAAGAGCAGAGAGAGGGAGAGGGAGAGAGACTAAGAGAGAAAAGGGAGACAGAAGGAGAGAGAGAGAAGCTGCTTCTTAGAGAGGGAGACAGAAAAAGGGACTCAGGCTGCAAGCAGGAAGATCTGCCTGCCTCAGTGGAGGGGGAGTGGGCGTGGCTTGTCTGTTAAAGAGACAAAACAGATCATTACAATCTCTCCTACCAGAAAATAAATTTTCTTTCTTTTTTGTTTGTTTTTGGTTTTTCAACAGCATTTATCTGTAGCTTTGGAACATATTCTAGAACTAGCTCTTGTAGACCAGGTTGGTCTCAAACTCAGAGCTCCACCGGCCTCTGCCTCCAGAATACTGGGATTAAAGGTGTGCACCACCACAGCCCAGCAATAATTAATTTTCTTATATGAACAATTGATTGTGATTCATTTAAGCTATTGGACCAATCCTGACTTGGAATGTGCCATTTCTGATGTGTTCATCTTGAATCTGTAACTTTCTACTCTCTGTTCCCCATTTTTTGTATCTCATACCTAATTCTTCCTGTATGCCTGAAGCACAGGACCTTTTTGAAACCACAATTTCTAGGTTAGACTCTCCACTAATTTGTTTTTTATCTAAACCATGACATCTTGAGAAAAAAAAAACACTGAAGTATGTTATTCCATTGTTTCCTCTTCTGGAGTATGGACGTAATAGCAATGCATACCTCCAACTGGATAATGAAAAGAGAAACAATATACTGAACTAGAAATTATAATTCATTAAATTGACAATATTATCTTCTCATGGAATAGGCTGTTGGAGTAAATAATAAATGATAAAAGCTAAATTTTAGGAGTTGTAGATGACAAAGCAGTGCTTACACATTTACTTTTGATTTATTTCCTAACAACATTTTGGTGGTTGTTAAATACACTCTTCTCACTTCTTGTTTATGTTTTGGTGGTAGTTTAAAGGCAGTCAGACCTCCTGTGTCACCAGCCCCAACCCCAACGTTCAAAGACTTCCTCAAAGGCTTGCTCGTTGTTCTACAATAGTATATCTTATTATACAAAGAATGGTTTACCAATGTTAATATTACTTTATTTTTACTTAGACAGACTCCACAAATCTCTTATCTTAACCCACATACACAGTTAAGAAAATGAAAAAAAGCTTCAGGATTGTGTCAAAGAAGCAGGTGTGAGTACCCAAAGTGAATATACTGGATAACTTCCTGATGTGGGAGTGATTTCTTATTAATAAAGAAACTGCCTAGACCCATTTGATAGGCCAACCCTTAGGTAGGCGGAGTAAACAGAACGGAATGCTGGGAGAAAGAAGCTGAGTCAGGGAGTCGCCATGATTCTCCCACTCCAGACAGACGCAGGTTAAGATCATTCCTGGTAAGCCAGCTCGTGGGCTACACAGATTAATAGAAATGGGTTAGATCAATATGTAAAAGCTAGCCAATAAAAAACTGAAACTAATGGGTCAGGCAGTGTTTAAAAGAATACAGTTTCCGTGTAATTATTTTGGGTAAAGCTAGCCGGGTGGCGGGACACAGCCCGCCGCTCCGTACTTCAACAGAGTGGCGCCCAACGTGGGGCCACGTAAAAATGAAAAATTCACAGAGAGTCTGGATTATGTACATTGTGTTTTCTTTAAAATTTT